TCTCTTCACATCCCAACTTCAGGGAACACTGACCTGTCTGCAGTTCCTCTCTCATCTTTGTCCATGGTGGGTGAGGTCCATGGTTTTCAGCCAGCTATGCCTACCGCCTCTTCTCTACCTGGAAAACTCTTAATCATACTCCAAGGTCCTACATCCTCTGGGAAATTGCCTTCTGGCATCTGGCTTCTCTGTCCTTCGGACTGTCACCAGTTTCGGAGCCAGCACCTCCTCATGTTCACCATGGGTCTGTCTCTTCTGCTAGACATGAGCTCCCAGGGGCGAGTGAGTGACTGATTCTCATCAGTGTATTAATTGCCTATCATGTGGCCTGCCTAGGATGAGTATGGATGTCTATACAGGCAAGTAGAACAGGGTATGGTTAGTGTCAGGCGCTCAGAGGGAAGCCCAGAAAAGGCCTTGGGCAAGGCTGGGAGTGGGGTGGCATCATGTAAGTCTTAGAGGAGGTGATGCCAGACAGAAGGCATTCAATTAGGTGGGGGTAGGGTGAGCACTCCCTGCGGGCAGGTCCCAGGAGTAAAGACTTGTGGCAAAAACCCACCAGCCCAGTGTGTGTGTGTGTGTGTATACATGCATCCACATGCATAACTGGGGGAGAGGGAGAGACTCTGAACCTGAGCCCTTGAGAGTAGAAGGCAGGGGGGATGGTGGCAGCCGGGGGTATTGATTTGTGTTTGAGGGGCAGGGATCTAGATTAGGAAGAACTGTGGGCACAGTCTCAGGAATTTAGACTTGGTCTGAGGGTAACTTGTACCTCCCAAGAGACACAATTTGGGGTTTGGAAAAATCCCTCTGGAAGTTGGTGCAGAACCAACAAGGCCTCCTGGTGCCGCTTTGGGAATGTGGGAGGGAGGTTTCAATTATCACAATGCCTGGGGTCACCACTGGCAGTTAGTGGGCAGGGCCTGGGATGCTGGACGCCCTGTGTTGGTTAGGACAGTACACAACACAAAGAACTGTCCCACGTGCTATTTGACTTTTGAATTTCCCTCCATTCATTTGTGTAGAAGGAAAACATCTGTTTGTAATTGCCCACGTCCGTAGCCCAAGTCTGGCTTGCTTGTAAATAGCATTTTTGAATGGTTTTTAACATACACTGAATTTGCTAGACATACAATTTCCTTGTAAATTGAAAGAAGATTGCATTTTATCTTATTTGGAGACTAACTCAGATTTGTCGCCATTTTGAAAACATATATACATTTGGAAATTACAGAATTTGGAAATTAATGGCAATTTAGGGGATTTGAGCTATCAACAGGATGCTCTCCATATTGGTCTGCACTTGTGGGTGTCACTGTCACATTCAGGGGGATTCTATGATAGGCACCAACTCCTAATTATTTTATTACGTCTGCTAGTGTAGTCAACAAGAGTATTCACAATTCGAGATAAATACGTGCATCATCTTCAATTAATATCCTTATTTATTAATTTAACTAACACTAAACTCTTAACATGTACAGAACGTTATTTTAAATGCTTTATGAATAATCACTCACTTAATTTTCAAAATAAGTCTGTGCAGTAAGGTGCTATCATTATTCCTTTTTTTAAATTAGGGACCGAGGCATAAACAGGTTGAGTGACTTACTCAAGGTCACACAGCTGGGAAGTGGAGAAGCCAGGATTTGAACCAGCATCTGTGCACTTCACCACTAGCATTTAGGGCATTCAGATGATTTTCTTTTGGAAATTATATGCATATACATGTCATTTCATCTTAGTGTAATAGGAGTGATAGAAGATATCTGTTTGAAGGGGGAGTTGAGACAAGGTTAAAAACCACTGATAGAGAGCTCATGAGAGCTGGGCTGGTCACTGAAGCCTGGGTGTGGCCATATTGGGGCAGGGGGCTGCAGCAGACCCCCAATGCTCCCCAACATTCTGCAGAGAAAGAAGGTGAGCTCAGGGATGTAGGAGGGAAAGCAGGGAGTAGGGTGAGAGGAAGCTACAGGGAGAGCGTTCTGAGAGGGTAACAGTGGGTAAGGCCTCAGACAGACCTGATGAGGTCAGGGCTGAAGGTGGCCTCAGACGTGGCCTCAGAGGGAACAGTGTGACTTGAGCCTCCACAGGTGCAGCAATGGGAAGGGCTTCCAGATGTAGTTGTAGCCAGACTTTTGTCCCAACACCCAGTGTAGGGGGAAAGAGGGGAAGAAATGCCCTGACCCTTCTATCTCCTCCCACCCCCCATCTCCTGTCGGTACCTCCCACTGGCCCACCCTCCCAGGCAGCCAGAGGGCTAGGAGGCAGCGCGAGCCAGTCCATGGGTGTCAGGAAGGTGGAGAAGGGCAAGGAGGGGTCTAGTGAGGAGCAGAGGCAAACAGAATAACCAGTAGGGCCCTGAACAGGGAGTGTAGGACCTGGGGGGATCCAGGGCAGGGGTCACCTTGGAATGATCTGGAGGTGTCCCCTCCCCCACAGACACACAACTGGGCCCTGGAAGCACAATTTTCTGAGGTAGATACTATTATAGACCTCATTTACAGATGGAGAAGCCAAGGTTCAGAAAAGAACAGACCAACAGAAGCTTGCCTAAAGGCACAGTGCAGAAACAAGATTCGAACCCAGGTGGTCCTTTTGCCAGAGCAAGGGCTCCAACCACTGAACTTACTTCCCCATCTGCCTACAGGCTGGGGCATTGGTGGGCATATCCTGCCCGGGGACTGGGTGCCCCTAGCCAGGGATGTGGCCGGTCCATTAGTCAACCTGGAGACAGAGAGAGCCGGCTGGAAAGGCTGGAGTCAGGCCAGCCTGGCTTGAATCCTGCCAGGCACTGAAGCTGTAGCACCCCGAGCAGGTGGCTTCATCTCTCTGTGCCTCAGTTTCCTCATCCATAAAATGGGGCCAGTACTGGCCTGCTGTGTTGTTGAAAGGGTACATTGAAGTTAGGTTTCCTTTCCCTTCCCACTCCCCTGCCCCCCAGATGGGGAGGGTGAAGGAAGCATACATGCTCCCAAGGGATAATATCAGAAGGGCTGGCGCACTCTTACTGTCTTCTCCAGACCCACACCAGGGAGTGATCAAGAAAGTCTTCTTCTGCCTAAGCTTGGTCCAGCCTGCTGCCCAGTGACTTCCTGGCTTACCCCTCCACATCATGCGGGCCCCCTCCATCCCTTGCGTCCACTCCAGAACTTGCAGGACACTACCAGGTCTGACCACAAGGTGGCGCGTGTCGGCTGCAGGACCAGAGAGGGGGGCGGGGCTTGATCGGAGCGTGGACCCAGAGGTGCTGTGACCTACCGAACGAAGGTAAAAGATTGGGGGTGTGTATCTGTGTACCCAGACACCCGGGGACCTGTGGAGGACTCGCGGTACTCCTGTTTTCCTCCTTGGGACTGTGTGTATCTCTGGGGAATATGAACGTGTGGTGAAGGGAGCTCTCACTGCCACCTCAGCTCACAAGCTGTTATTACCCCATTTTACAGATGAGAAAACGGAGGATCAGAGACTATCACGCGCTGAAGTCATTTGGCTAACAAGTGGCAGGGCTGGACACAACCCAGGATCTGTTTAGCTGCGGAGACTGCTTTTCTGACGGAGTGGAGAGGGGCTTTCCCCGTGGTGGTGGTGGGCTCCTGGTGTGCAGCTAGAGGAGGGAATTAAAGGTGGATTTGGGAGGGGGGAGGGTTTCAGAAATCAAGGAGAAATCAGCACCCTGGAAAGAACGAGACTCGAGGGTAGGGATGTGGGCACATACCCAGGGCTTTGGTTCCCTCTCTGAGCACCTTGGGACCCTGGGTGTCAGCACTTCCCCTGTGAGGGAGGACCAGGTGCCCACAGCTCCCTCTCTTGCATCTCCAGGGTCTCCCGCGCATCCCCTGAGCTTGGAGCTCCCTCGCTGGCTGCGGCTATTTCTCAGACTGTGCCCTTTGGTGTCAGAGACACATACCAGAGGCCAGGCCTGCATAGGCTGAGTTCATGGTTACTGAATTGGGACAAACGGGGATGCACTGGCAGGGGTCAGTGGCTCATTTCAGGAAAGTCCCTTCTGCGAGAGGATTCACCCTCTACTGGAGCTGAGGGCAGTAGAAGAATGGACTGTTGTTTTACATTGTAGTGTCTTTGAGATGACCTGGATTCCTGGGTCCAGGTCTGCCTGAAGAGCTCCTCTCCACTCAAACATTCTCCCCCTCAGCCTAGAGGCCAACCTGGAACAAGCAAACACGGAGTGCAGCAGGAAACTACAAGGTTAGACAACAAGAGGGACTTCTAGGCAAGAGTGGGAGAGAGCCTGCTTAGAGCTGCTGTTCTGTAGAACGGGCTGCCTCAGATTGCTGTGAGGTTTATGGGGTTACAAACAGCAGAGGCAAAGATCAAAGTCAAACAGAGATGGAAAAGGCTGGTGAGTGTTTGGTAAGGGGAATTGGGGGCCACGCAGTACAGGGCTGCGGGGCCTAAATCCTATCCTAAGGACAATGGTGGGAGTTGTCGGGGGGGTTGAGGTTGAATGGGGGGTGCTTTGGAGAAGGTAGGGAGCCCTGGGAAGCAGCAGGCTGGGGGTGCAAGCAGAGACCTGGACAACAGAGACAGGGGCTGCGGGGCAGGGGTGGTGGTGGTGTCTGCTGGACGTGCAGGCCTGGGCTGGAGAGATGAGGGGGTAGGGAGACCAGAGGGTGGGGAGAGCTGAAGGCTGGGAGCAGCTGGCCTCACCTGGGAGAAGTGAATCCCTAACAGTGCCTCAGGGCAGATTTCTCCAAGGAGACTGAGGTTGGGGGAGGGGTGGGGGAGAGAGTGGTGGGCGCCTTGAGGCCTGGCTACTGGGGCTGATGTCTGGAGAGCCTGGCGGGTCAGACCCTCCCTCAAGCCTGAGGTGAAGCAGCCTGGGAGGCCTGGTGAGAGGAGGCGGTGGGAAGGGGAGGGGAGGAGAGGGAGGGCTGGGCCTCTGTCCATGGCATTAGTGCTGGTTGGAGGGACGAGGGGGGTGTGGAGCCAGCCAGGCCGCCCGCCTGTTCCCACAGCAGTAAGCAGAGCAGGCTGCCATGGCGCTGGCCAGGCCTGGGACCTGGGCCCCTAGGGCCCCAGTCCCTGTCCTGCTGCTGCTGCTCGGAACTCCGGCCCTTGCCCTCCTAGCTGGTGAGTTGGGACACAAGCCTTGGGAGGACCAGGGGAAGATCCGCCCCCCAAGGCAGAGAGTGGAGGCCTTGGCTGCTGGGCTGAGGGTGGGTCAGTCGCGTGGGTGCCAGGCTGGACCATGAGGCACAGAGGGTGCATGGCTGTGGGCCACTGTGATTCTGTGGGGCTCTGAGCAGGTGAATGTGCTCTGGGACTGTGCTGCTGCTGTGTATTGGGGTCTTGGTGGGTGGTGGTGAGGCCCAGGCTGTGTGGTTTGGGGAACTGATTCGGGTGAGGGTTGGGGTGTGCATCTTGGGAAATGCCGTGTGTCCTGGTGAGGGGAGTTCTGGGGTGTGAAGGGCTGAGTTTGGGGAGTTGCAGGTGGCATGAGCATCCCCCAGAGTCTGTTCTGGTATGGGGTCATGGGGTGCAAGATAATGGGCGTGTAAAAGATGTCAGGTGGGTGAGCTGTCCACGGTGAGCTGTGAGCTGTGTCTGAGGTGTTTGGGTGTGAGAGTTGTGTCCCAGCATGAGTTGTAAGGGTACAAGCTACCCAGGAGTTCAAGTGGGTGTTTGCTCTCCACAGGAGGCAGGAGTGGGGGCTGTAAACCCCAGCCTAGTAGAGTAGAGGGAAGAGATCCAGGGGAGCTTGGCATCTGCCTGCACCCCTCCATTTGTGGGGTAGCCCTGCCTGCTCTGGGGGTGGTGGTACTGGGGATTTGAGAACACGTGTGTGTCCCCTGCTGCCCCCTCCCTGGCATTCCCAGACCAGGTGGAAAAGGCTTCCTGAGGCTAGATCCACGTTCACCAAGGTATCTTTGCTTTTGTCCACGTGGATTCAAACTGGGGGAGCCTGGAATTCCTGCTGGGGAGTCTATGGATGCTTGGTCTTGGTCACTATAGCTACAGGCCAAGCCTGGGAAGTCCCTACCCCCACCCACACTGGCAGGAGATGGGAGCCAGGAAGGGCCTGGCTCCCCTGTGACTGGGGGAGCGCCAACCTCAGACTCCAAAGACTGCAGGGTGACTAGGGGGTCAATACCTCTCCAATCCCTTCCCTGGAGCTTTCCTGGGGCCTCTCATGGGTCTTATGCTCACGAGACTTTCATTTCCTAGTCCTTCGATCCAGGGAGGATGAGGACCCCATTTTATGGTGAAGGAAACCACAGCTCAGGGAGGCATGGGGACTGTGAGCTGGCCTCTCCCTAAGCAATACAGGCTCAAGAGAGGAGCTAGGGGCTACTCTCTGCACACAAAGGGGGTGAAATCCTGGTCTGTGGATCTTTCTATCCCCTACCCAGCAATGCACACATATATGCATACACCCACCCACTGCACACCTGTGTGGCATGTACAGGGGCACATACCACCACGTGAACAGGTGTCCACAGGCACTCGTAGACCCACTGGCACATGCGCGTATACTCAGACATGTACACATACATGGCATGTGCGTGCACACGCAGCTGTGCACACACCAACATGCTTATATCGACGTGTGTTTTCACATTCAAATGTACATTCACGGGAACCTTGAGGCAGAGAGGGCACGACATGGGTCGATGCTGCAGAAGGGGGAGTACACGGTGACATACACCCCTGGGCTTCCTGGGGCAACCTTCCCCCTACAGTTTCTGTGTAGAAGCCCCATGGCTGGAAGTCCCCACCCACAGCTGGGGGGGGCACTGTGGGCATGACCATTTCTGGACAACAGTGTCCAAGGCCGGCCTGCCAGGAGGGGAGGGGCTGGGCATTGTATCACTTGAAAACCAATTTCCATCCCAGAGGGGGTGAAGGTTTCTGAAGGGCCTAGGCCCCTGTCTCTACTGCCCACCCCTGCCAGGCCCTGAGCTGGGCCCCTCCATCCTGGGCCCAATTTGCCACAAAGGCCAGCTGGTTGCCATGGTGAGCACCAAGCATCTTGGAGTACAATGGGGCATGTTGGGCTCATATCCACCCCCTCTCTTCCCTGAACACCCAGGGAGCCCAGCAGACAAAGGGATAGTGAGTTTAGTCCCCAAATCTGGCCCCTCCCCCTACCAGAAGGGGGTATGGGGCCTGTAGGACAGAAGCGGGGATCAAGCTGGAAGCCACACACATTTGCCCCAACTTCAGGATTGTTGGGATAGTTGGTGTTGGTTTCAAGTAAACATTTATTGATGAATGAGTAAGGTTACTTTTTTTTTTTTTTTTTGAGACGGAGCCTCAAGCTGTCCCCCTGGGTAGAGTGCCGTGGCATTACAGCTCACAGCAACCTCCAACTCCTGGGCTCAAGCGAGTCTCCTGCCTCTGCCTCCCAAGTAGCTGGGACCACAGGCGCCCGCCACAACGCCCGGCTATTTTTTGGTTGCAGCCGTCATTGTTGTTTGGCGGGTCCGGGCTGGGGATTCGAACCCACCACCTTAGGTGTACGTGGCTGGCGCCTTAGCCAGTTGAGCTATAGGCGCCGAGCCAAGTAAGGTTACTTTTTATGCTCAGCTCTGATATCCCCAGGTTAGAGAGGTCAACAAGGCCCAGAGAGGGTTGGTAACTTGCCTAGAGACATGGAGCTAGTGCACTGCAGGGCTGGGATTTCACAGTCCACATAAAGTCACGTCTCTTCTCTGTGCCTCTGTAAAACAGGGACAACCTGGCTCACTCTGAGGACTGGTATAAGAATTCCATGAAATAGACTGGGCATGGTAGTTTGTGCCTATAATCCCAGCACTCTGGAAGGCTCACCTGGGTGGATCGCCTGAGCTCAGGAGTTCGAGACCAACCTGAGCTAAAGCAAGACCCCCATCTCTAAAAAGTAGCCAGGCATTGTGGAGGGCACCTGTAGTCCCAGCTACCGGGGAGATTGAGGCAAGAAAATGGCTTTAAGCCCAAGAGTTTGAGGTTGCTGTGAGCTATGATGCCACTGCATTCTACCAAGGGCAACAAAGTCTGTCTCAAAAGAAAAAAAAAGAATTCCATGAAATAACACAGAGGTTCTCCAACTTAGCTTTTGGCATGCAACTGCTAATTTCACATGAAATTTTAGATGGAAGCCCATTGATAGTTAATAGAGAAATAGTTAAAAGTGGTCTTTTCAGGTGGCAGGTCCAGAACCTTGCTTGCTCTGTCTGCCTCTCGGCCAGGTACCTCCTGGTTGCTGTGCTCAAGAGGTCACAATTTGGAAACACTGGGATATGCCAGTGCCAGGCACAGGGCAGGCACTCAATCTGCGACAGCTATTGTTGCAATTACTGTTGTTGTTTTTTTTTAAGATACAGAGTCTCACTTTGTTGCCCTCTATAGAGTGCCGTGACATCACAGCTCGCAGCAACCTCCAGTTCTTGGGCTTAGGCGAGTCTCTTGCCTCAACCTCCTGAGTAAATGGGACCACAGGCGCCCACCACACCACCCGGCTATTTTTGTTGTTGTTGCAGTTTGGCTGAGGCCGGGTTTGAACCTGCCATCCTCGGTATATGGGGCCGATGACCTACTCACTGAGCTATAGGCTCCACCCTGTTGCAATTACTCTTATCAATATTATGCCTTCTAATCTCGGGTAAACACTTTTGAAAAAAGGTATTCTAAACTTTCCTGCCAAAAGGGCATTTTCGCCCTTTCCTGATGTGTCTGAGTTGGTGTTTGTAAACCTCTACTGTGGTGTCCTTTTCCGTTACTCAGCCATTCCCTTGTGGCCCAGTGATAGTAGATGAGCAGTTTTTTTCCCCTATGCTAGAAGCTCCCATATCTTATGAGATTTTAGGTCACTTCTTAGAAATATTCTCTCTCTTGCCTTGTCAAGACAGGAATCTTCCTCAAATCCACCTCCGTAACACACTTCTCCTCGATGGGCAGTTAAAATTAGACCTGTTATAAGTGCCCATAAAGGAGGAGTTACTGAGCACCTGTGACCCCAGAAGCTCAGTGGGACTGCTCTCAGCTGGGTTCTGGACAGACCATGGAACCTTCCTGGTGCCTGGGCGCAGCAGCTGGAACCTACTAAAATGACAACACGTGGGTGGCAATTTAGGGTTTGCAAAGTGGAAATTTCACAGGGATTTGGAGATGTGGACTTCCCAGAAATGGAGAGAGAATCTGATTCTTTGTTTCAACCTGGGCAAGTTTATTGATGTCTTAGAGTTGAAAAAATAGAAATTTTTTTTTCACAGCACTCACCTTTTCTAGTTTGAATCAAATATAACAACATAACAATGATTGCACAGCCCTGAGTGCACAGTACACACTCATTAAACGGCTGCTGTCCGCCTGCCCTCCCCATGGCAGGGTAGCAGGTTGAAGGGGTGGGGTGGATATCTGTTAATCCCTCCCCTGCCAGGTCAGCCCAGGCAGTCTGAGAGGTCAGGAGGGATTTGTAAAGATAAGCACAGGCCCCTCGTTGCCCTGGCAACAGGCTCCACCCTCCAGCCTGGCTGGGCACAGCCTGTCCTCTCCCCACTGCCCTCCACACCCCACCCCTCCTTGCTTCTCCCCCCTCTGCCCTGGGCTAGCCCTGCGCTTGGGGTCACTCCTGGAAGACAGAGACAACCTGAGGTCAGCAGTTCCCACACCTCAAGGAGTAAAGGAATGCCCAGGGAGGTGCTGCAATGCAGATTCCCAGGCCCAGTGGTTCTGCATTCGAGGTCTGGAGTGGACCTCAGGAATCTTTTTGTTTTGAGACAGAGTCTCTCTCTGTTGCCTTGGGTAGAGTACTAGAGTACTGTGGCATCATAGCTCACAGCAACCTCAAACTTTTAGGCTCAGCCTCCTGAGAAGCTGAGACAGGTGCCTGCCAAACATGGCTAGTGTTTTCCCATTTTCAGTAGAGATGAGGTCTTGCTCTTGCTCAGTCTGGTCTCGAACTCCTGAGCTCAGGTAATCCACCCACCTTGGCCTCCCAGAGTGCTAGAATTATAGGTGTGAACAACTGCTTCTGGCCAAGGAATCTGTATTCTTAATATGGGCCCAGTGATTCTGGAAACCCTGGAGTGCAGGCTCTGGAGTGGTGAGCACTGGGTTTGGGTTCCAGCCCCTCATGGGCCATGGGACTGTGAGGCTGCCTCATCTCTGAACCTCCCCTCCTTCAACTGTAAAAAGGAGTAATAGCACCATCCACCTCATGCGGTGAATATGGAGATTAATCAAAATTACACAAGAAATGGTTGTCCCACACAGGCAGGCCCTTGGCATTGTTGCATGCCTCCCAGGATGGGCAGCTCCCTCCCTCCCTGGCTGACTCCTTCCTTGCGTGGGGTTGGACTCTGTCATTTGGAGTAACAGCCCATCTGCTGCTTCCACAGCCCTGGGAAGACCTCCAAGGTGGGCAGACTAGGATGTACTGTCTCCCCAGGGCATTTTCCCCAGGTGCCACATCCCCAGCTAGTCCCCACTGTTCTGAAATGGAGGGCTATGACCCGGGGGTGCAAATCCAGATTGGGTGTGGGTCCCATTTGCCACCCAGAATAGGGGCCTGGTGGCAAAGCCCTTCACAAAGGGTGCTATGATTGCTGTCCTCCAGGTATGTGCTGGGTGCACAGCCTCTCACTGAGGGCTCACTGGGTACCAGGGCTTCACACACATCTGCCCCTGGTGGCTCACAATGCCTTCACAAGGTGAGTGCTATTTGCACCCAGGATATGGCCCAGGTCTGCCTGATGCCCCAGACCTGTGCTCTTTCCCTGAGGGAGCTCAAGGGGTGAGGTCAAGCCAGTGGACAGCCCGCCTGGTGGAATGTGGATGACGCCTGAGAGGCTGCCAGCCTTATCTGGGGGTCTCTGCCAGAGTGGGGGAGGGGAAGGTGTAGGACCTGAACTGTTCTGGGGCCTGGTTAGTGTCTGGATGACAACTTGGGTAGGGGAGAGCACCCCTCAGAGCTCCAGGTGCAGGATGGGGCAGGGGGAAGCAGGAGGGGCCGTGTGCCTTCCCCTCCAGGTTCCCCTCCCCCATCACTTACTGGATCCCCCAGCAGTGAACAGTCCCTGTGGACCTGGGGCTTTACATCCTTCAGCATTCTGTAAAGATGTGCTATTATCATCCCAGCTGGGAAAATGACTTGCCCAGTGTCTCACAGGTAGCAATTTTCTGAGCTGAGTTTGAACCCAGGGCTGTTTCATGTCAAAACCGGAGTTCTGGCCTAGGTATTCTGGTGGTCTGGGATAGGCTTCCAAAACCCTCAGTCACCCTCTAACCAGGGAGTTGGGAGGAGTGGTGGCAGCACCTCAGTGGCCCAGGCAGGGGTTGAGTGAGCAGCTCTCAAAACCTGCTCTGTACCATGTGGCCTCAGCCAGGCTGTCCTTGGCTTATGGGGGATGAAATGAGGGTCAGGGATCCTCTAGAAGTTCCCAGGCCAGCAGCGGGGGAGGCAGAACAGGGGTGGGAATGAGAAGGGTTGAAGCTTTGAAGTTGGCCATCAGTCCTCCTGGGGTTGAGCTCTGAGGTCGGGGGCCCATCTCCAGTTTCATGCAGGGATGGAGTTACCAGACCCCCAGCAGGAGGAGTGATTGAGTCTCCCCTTCCCCTCCTTCAGGCTTCCCCTCTCCCTGTCCTGGGCCTCCTTTGAGGCATGAGGCTTGCAGAAGGGGAGATCCCTCCCCAAGTGGGGCTGTACCAACCCTGACCTACCTTGAAGCCTGTCCTAGCCAGTACCAACTCTCTATGTGACCTCCACAAGAGTCTCCACTTTCCTTGAGGCTTCATGTGGTCTCTTGGCTGTGGGCATGACTGCCCCTGCCTCAGAGAGGTGCTGCAGGGATGCGGTGAGGCTGTTGGGGGCACTCACAGGGCCTGCCTGTGACTCCTGCCCAGAGGAGGACAGGTCCTCCTGCCCTGGTCTTATTTCTCTGCAGTGCTCTGCTCCTAAAACCAGTCCCAGCTTCCAGTGTAGACGTGCAGTTTCTTGGGGCCCGGCTTGCAGACCCTCAGGCCCTCTGTCCATCCTGCGCATGAACAGACTCATTTTTCTTTCAGGCTCAGGGCTCCAGCGGAGACTATGGGGAGGGGAGCATCCTGGTGGCTCCTGCCTACCCTGTTCAGCCAGTTTCTTCTTTCTGCAGGGACAGAGCCTCCAGAGTCCCTGAGTTCCTGTGCCTCAGACCCCTGTGCTCCAGGGACCCAGTGCCAGAATACTGACAGCGGTGGCTACACCTGTGGGCCTGTGGAGCCACAGGGCTGTGACAGCCAGCCATGCTACCATGGTGCCCTGTGTGTGCCGCAGGGTTCGGGTCCCAGTGGCTTCCGCTGCTACTGTGTGCCCGGTTTCCAGGGCCCACACTGCGAGCTGGACATCAATGAGTGTGCATCCCGGCCCTGCCACCATGGGGCCACCTGCCACAACCTGGCTGATCGCTATGAGTGCCTCTGCCCCCTCGGCTATGCAGGTAACGGCCTGTGCTACCCTGGGAGGAGGTCTGTAATGTCAACTCCATTAGCAGCTCAGAGTACGCGTGTTGGATTCAGCTTTGACTTTGGTATAGAAATGCCCCCAGGTATCCTGGCAGCTCATGGGTATGTGCACTCTTGGTCTTCCAGCAGAATTGACGCTTCTTGGGCTAACCTGGCAGCTCTGGACGAGAGTGTGTGTATGTGCGGCACTGGCTCAGTGCCTACTCAACAAACGTGATTTCAGCCCCTTCTACGGAGCTGTTTGGCTCTGGGGGTGGAGACTCCCCTCAGGCTGGTCTGGCAGTGCAGACATGCCTGGCGTGGCTTTAATGAGGTACCCCAGACAGTCTTTCTAGCATTTACTCATTCCAGACCTGTGTCAAGCTGTCAGGTAGACAGTGCCTGTGTCACCTGATGGTTCTGGATTATAAACACCCTTGGTGTGGTTTGGGATGTAATGTGGACCCTCACCCCTTTGAGTAGCCCCCAAAGTTCCAGCACAGAGACATTCACAGTCTTGTTCAAATTGTAATGTAGATGTGCCCCCAGGGATCCCTGCTGTTTGCAGCAGGATAGCATACACACAGGTGCTCAGAAGTCAGTGGAGCTGAGTGCCAGTTAGTTCCCTCCTCCAGAATAGGGCCTGTCCCAGTCCCAACCACATTCTGAGGTAGGAGCCTCAGGCCTGCAAGCTGCCGTGTACACACTCTGGATTCTGCTTCAATCTCGAATTCAGACACCTCTATTCTGACCAAGGGGTACAGACTGGCCAGGGGTTGTGTTCCCAGGGGGGCATACAGTGAAGAGAATGAAAATGGATTTTGGAAATGGGTTCCATGCACCTTTCTTAGTGTGTCAGGATGTATTAGTTGTGTATGTGTGAGTGTAGGTCATGTCTGTCTGTGTGTCTCTTAGTCTAAGTTTAATTCTACATCACTAAAAGGCCTGTGTCCGCCAGTATGTGCAGGGGTGTCTGCACTCTGAATGCCTCCGTGAGAAACATGTGCATCTGAGTGCTGGAAGGCTGTGTGTGCTCAGACGCTTCGGGTAACTCTTTTGGGTGAGCTGTGAATGTGAGTGGGGGCAGTGTCTGCTGTGACTCATTTCTCTCCTCCTCCCATTCCCAGCCTGTCGGGGGAGGTTGGGATTCCTGCAGCCTGGCCCTGGCTCCCCCTGGCACAAAGGGTGGGAGTGGGCTGGGGTGAGAGGAAGGTGGGGCCATGTTTTGTGCTCACTGTGTCAGGAAGGGGGAGGATTCCAGCCGGGGCCAGCTGGGCCCCCTAGGACCAAACCTGCTTAGGGGGCACGGGCAGGGGCAGGACCCTTTGGAGTCTCCTATGACATGTGAGTTCCAGGATGACCTTGGGCAGTACATCTCCAAACCCTGAGACTAACTTGCTTCATCTCCACCCTACCCTGGGAAGGCCACCCAACCTTCTTTGAGCAGGACTATGAGGGTTCCCGGACTTGGGACTCCTTGGTTTTAAATCCAAGGCAGTGGCTTGGAACCTGTGTAGCTCAGTGAGTGGGGCGCCAACACATACACCAAAGCTGGCCGGTTTGAGCCCAGCCAGGCCTGCTAAACAACAATGACAACTGCTCCCCAAAAATAGCCAGGTGTTGAGGCTGAGGCAAGAGAATTGCTTAAGCCCAAGAGTTTGAGGTTGCTGTGAGCTGTGACAGCATGGCACTCTACAGAGGGCAATATAAGAGACTGTCTCAAAAAACCCCAAAAAACCAAGCCAGTGCAGGAAATCCAGCAGAGGCTGCTTCCCCACTCCAGCATCTCCCACTCACAGTTTTTGCAATATTCCTCTTCCCTGAGGGATTTCTAAAATATAAGTAGGATCACATCACTCACCTGCTCAGAACTTTCAGGATGAGCCCAGAGTCTGGTTCCTGGCCCCCATGACCCTGTCCCCTTTGTGCCAGGGGTAGCCAGGTCCAGGCTGCTCCTGACCCTCCAAGAAACCCTGCCCCAGGCAGGACTTGGCCACTGCCATAGTCTTTGAAATCTAACTGCTTGCCACAGTCCCCTATCCCAGTCCTTCAAAAGCCTCTTCCAAGAGGACTTCCCTGACCAGTCAAGATCCCAGCTCTTCCTTCCAAAGGATCCAGTTCTTCCCCTTGTTGAGTTAGCAATTTAAAAAACTCTCTTCGTTAATGCAGTCATAAACCAAATCCCCATCTCCTGGAGTAGGCTACTGTGAATTCCACAAGGGTGGGGATGTCTGTCTTGTTTCTGCCCACCCACTGTGGTGGTGCAAGAAACACCTGCTCTGAACTAATGAACCCACTGAGTCTCAAATCTTTAGACTAGACAGAGGCTCTCACCTTGCTCTTTCACACACTGGAGCCGTTTGGGGCCCGCCCGACTCGGCTTTCTTCACCCTCTTCTGGTGTCCATCTTGCCGACTCTGTGTCCCCGGCCCTGCTAGGTGTGACCTGCGAGGCCGAGGTGGATGAGTGCGCCTCTGCGCCCTGCCTGCACGGGGGCACGTGCCAGGACCGCGTGGGCTCCTACAGCTGCAAGTGCGCGCCGGGCTACGAGGGTGACCGCTGCCAGCTGGACCTCGACGAGTGCCAGAGCCAGCCGTGCGCACACGGGGGCACGTGCCACGATCTGGTCAACGGGTGAGCGAGCTGCCGGGAGCGGGGTGCTTGAGGCAGGGGTGGAATGCCAGGCGGGCGGGCACGCGCTCAGCCCGGTCGCGCACCCACCCCAGGTTCCGGTGCGACTGCGCTGACACAGGCTACGAGGGCGAACGCTGCGAACAGGAGGTGCTGGAGTGCGCGTCGGCGCCCTGCGCGCACAACGCGACCTGCCTTGAAGGCCTTGGGAGCTTCAGCTGCCTCTGCTGGCCAGGTGTGTGCGTGTGCTTGCTTATCCCCGAGCAGCTAGGCAGGTGTGTGTGTGTGCGCGGGCGCCCGCGCGTGTGTGGTGTCTGTCTGCCTGCAACCTGTAGGAGCCTCAGTTTCCTGATCTGCAAAATAGGGCTGATAACAGCGCCTGCTCCTAGGGTGCTGTGAGGAGAGCGAAGGTGTGATGCCCATGAAGCACTTGGCACAGGGCCTGGCACCTGCGAAGGGCTCAGTAATGCTGGTAATAATAGTAACCTGCTGCTGCCCAAGGCTGCAACTGTCATTCCCAACCCCTGAGTGTGTCCCTTCCTCACTGTTGATGACTATATTGCCAGCTGTCACCCTGCTTGGCCCTGGGCTGGCCTGGTGACAGCAGAAAGATGCTGCCTGGCAACCCCTATGTGACCTGATGCCCGGTATGTGCACCCTCAGGCTATAGCGGCGATCGATGTGAGGTGGACATAGACGAGTGTGCGGCAGGCCCCTGCCAGCACGGGGGCCAGTGCCTGCAGCGCTCCAACCCTGCCCTCTATGGGGGAGTCCACGCCACCTTCCCTGGAGCCTTCAGCTTCCACCATGCGGCTGGCTTCCTGTGCCACTGCCCTCCTGGCTTTGAGGGTGAGCCTCCTGCTGAGCAAGTGGTAACCAGGGTCCAGGTGCACTGGGAGGGATCCCTGGTGGGCTCAAGGCTTGGCCCTGCCTGAGTCAGCGCCTGTCTCTGGGCCTCAGTCTCCCTAGCTATAAAATGGATCTTTCCAGCTCTAATCTGGCTCTGAGAGCGCAGGTGGAGGTGAAAGCCACAGCTGGGCCTCTTACACGTACAGGGGACGACTGCAGTGTGGACGTGGATGAGTGTGCCTCACAGCCATGCCTCAACGGAGGCCACTGCCAGGACCTGCCCAGCAGCTTCCAGTGTCACTGCCGGGAAGGCTACGCAGGTATCTGGGTGAGGTGGGCACTGGGACAGGGCAAATGAGGGGGACTAGTGGGCCTGGGGTGAGAAGGTTCCTTGGGTCTGATGTGTGGATTGGTAAGGACAAGGAGATTAGGGAGAAGGCGGGGTGTGGTGGCCAAGTGATAGCTAAGGGTGACTGAGCAGGGAATTGCTTTGGATGTGGGATAAGAGAGGACTGATGAATTTTCAGAAATACTTAGGAGGAACACCCTGTACTCCTCACATGTGAGTGGGAGGTGTCAGGGAGATGCTGAGTTTTTGCCCTGGGTGACACTGAGTGGAGGACCATGAGTTCCATTTTGTACACACTGAGTTTAAGTGTCTCTGTGGTGTCCATGGGGCAGGGCTGGGGAGAGACTGGGGCTCTGAGGGCTGAGGCCCAGGAAAGGAGCCTAGGCTGGAGCCAGAGACTGGAGGTCAGGCATATAATGCTGGCAGCTGGGGTCATGGCAGACTAAGGCTGTGTGGAGTGAAGACAGAGAGGACTCTAGACACCTGACATCAAGGGGCTGGGCCTGGGCTGGGGGTCTGTGGGGAGGATGGAGGCAGTGGAGGACAGAGGAGGAAAAGGATAAGCGTGAGGTTTAGGGAGCTAGGGCCTGGTGGGCAGGAGTTGGGGGTGCAGGAAGTCTCTCCCTGCCTTGGGAACATGCAGATGCTGAGACACAGGATACTAGTGAACCACAGAGACTACACACACACTCACCAAGTGTCCCTGCTCCCTCTGGAATTCCTGTGACACCTCCCCCGCGCCTGCCTGCATTCCTGCTCGGGCACACTGCCTCCTTTCCCTGGCTGACTCTGGGCACAGACTCCTCTGCCTGGGAAGGAGGTGGTGTTCACCACCATCTCTCCTACCATCACTTACCTGAGGGTGCTGGGGCTCAGTGTCCCGGTTTGCCAACATCCTTGGTGGGCCCGCAAGCCTGGCCCCATGGGCTGAGGTTCCTTGAGTACTGCCCTAAGAGTAGTGGCCCTGTGGGCACCTGGCACACAGTAGCCCCACCCCATAAGCCTGGCCTCTGAAAAGCATGAGCTGTGAGTTTTTTCTTCCTTGCCACAGCTCTTATGAAATAGGGGTTTAAAACCCTATCTTACAGGTGAGACAATGGAGGCTTAGAGAAGGTGTGTCATCTCCCAGGTTGCCCCATGTCAGCAGGAACCTGGCTCCTCTCTCCTGGTTGAGCTCAGCTGAGGGGTGATAGGGAGGGCAGATCTCTGAGGTCAGGGCCAGGGAGGGGGACCTGGCTATGGGGCCAGGCTCCTTGCCCATCCTCCCTGTGGGCCATGCTGAGTGTGGGGGTAGCAGTGCCTGGCATTCCTGAGCCAGCTCTGAAGGAGGCAGTTGGGCCAGGCGGGCAGCTCTGCCCCAAGCCTTGGTGCCTGTCCACCACTCTCAGCCTGTCTGGAAAGAATGCGATGGGGCTGCAGGCTCTCTGGGCCTTTCTGGAGGGACTGTGGCTCCTGGCAGGTACGAAGGACTGGGGCCTTGTGCAGGGGAAGGTTGGGGCTTGTGGCTGGAGGTTCTTGGGGAGCTGGAGGGTTTGTGGGCTGACTGGGACCAGGCTTCACATCCTGGTGGCTTTTCTGGGCCTGGGTTCTTCCTGTGGGGACATAGGGGTAGGGCTTGCTTTGGTTTGTTTTGCAGAGAAGACCCTAGATGAGCTGGAGTTGGGCTATGGCCTCTTGACCCAAGCTGGGGTCATAGGACATGGAGGGAGCTCCTGGAAGGAGGATGAGGTGGCCTCTTTGTGGGAGCCCTAGGGCACAGGGACTGAGGGGTTAGAGGCTGGGGGCCAGTCGTAGTGTTGCAGGTGTGTCCCCCCCCACATTCCATTTAATTACTCTGTTCACAAAAGCCATGTGAGGCCCTTTGCAGGGCACGAAGAATGTATTCAAGCCCCTGAAGGAGATGCCAGCTGAGTACACAGATACTGTTCATGTTTGGGGGCGCTTGTGCCTGGGAGTGGAGAGTGATATAGTCATTTGGAGTTGGAAGTCAGGGAAAGCCTCTGGGCTTTTTGAGATTGGGTTTTGCAGGATGAGTAGGTGTTTGAAAGGCAAGAGAGAATGAGGCATTCTAAGCAGATGAATAGTATGAGCAGAGCCGCAGGGGTAGGACTTTCCAGGAAATGCCTGGGGAAATGGGCAGTTGAGGGTTTGCAGAAATCAGGGTTGAGGCTTCAGGGCCTGTTAGGCGATTCTGAGAAATCCTTTGGGAACTGATTTGGTTGATAGGTACTCAGGTCCCTACCACACAGGCATGTAAATTCTGGGTCCAGACTGTGGTTCTGGCCCTGGGTGCTACTGAGCCTTGGCCTGCTCTCTCTTGAAGGCCTGACCTGTCAGGAAGATGTGGATGAATGCCTCTCGGATCCTTGCCTCCATGGCGGAACCTGCAATGATGCTGTGGCAGGCTACATCTGCAGGTGCCCAGAGGCCTGGGGTGGGCCCAATTGTTCTGTGCAGCTCACTGGCTGCCAGGGCCACACCTGTCCGCTGGCTGCCACTTGCATCCCTGTCTTCGAATCTGGAGTCCACAGTTATATCTGCCTTTGCCCACCTGGTACCCATGGACCTTTGTGTGGCCAGAATACTACCTTCTCTGTGGTGGCAGGGAGCCCTGTGCAGGCATCTGTGCCAGCTGGTAGCCCCCTCGGTCTGGCACTGAGGTTTCGCACTACTCTGCCCACTGGGGCTTTGGCCACTCGCGCTAGCACCCAGGACAGCTTAGAGCTGGCACTGGTGGAGGCTATACTTCAGGCCACACTCTGGAGCCATGACACCACTGTGCTTGTCCTGAGACTGCCAGACCTGGCCCTAAATGATGGCCAGTGGCACCAGGTGGAGGTGGTGCTTCATCCTGGGACCCTGGAGCTACGGCTGTGGCATGAGGCCTGCCCTGCCCAGCTCTGTGTGGCCTCTGGTCCTGTGACTCTGGCTCCTACAGCTTTGGTGGCCCCTGTTGGGCACTTCTCTGCCCAGCTTGGTGGCGCAGCGTTTGCGGGTTGCCTCCAAGATGTGCATGTGGATGGACACCTCCTGCTGCCTGAGAATCTCAGTGAGAATGTCCTCGTGGGCTGCGAGCACCGGGAACAGTGCCAGCCTCTGCCTTGTGCCCATGGAGGGGCCTGTGTAGACTTGTGGACTCATTTCCGTTGTGACTGCCCCAGGCCACATAGGGGGCCCACATGCGCTGATGGTGAGAATGAGCAAAGTGGGAAGGCAGCACCTAAAGTCCGGGCTCCTCCAGCCTGCAGGCCTCATGCCCAGCACCATCTGTCCCTGCAGAGATTCCTGCTGCTACCTTTGGCTTGGGGGGCACCCTGAGCTCTGCCTCCTTTCTGCTCCAAGAGCCTCCAGCCCCCAACCTCACTGTGTCCTTCTTCCTCCGCACCCGGGAGCCCGCTGGCCTTCTGCTCCAATTTGCCAACGACTCAGCAGCTGGCCTGACAGTATTCCTGAGTGACGGTCAGATCCGGGCGGAGGCGCTGGGCAGTCCTACCGTGGTGCTTCCCGGGCGCTGGGATGATGGGCTCCGCCGCCTGGTGATGCTCACCTTTGGGCCTGACCAGCTGCAGGACCTGGGGCCGCAGGTGCACGTGGGTGGAAGGCTCCTCCCTGCTGACAGCCAGCCCTGGGGTGGGCCCTTCCGAGGCTGCCTCCAGGACCTGCAACTCAATGGCCACCATCTCCCCTTCTTTCCTCTGAGGCCACTGGAGAACTCAAGCCAACCCAGCGAGCTTGGTGGCAGGCAGTTCCAGAACCTCACCATGGGCTGCATCTCTGAGGACACGTGCACTGTAAGTGTCTAGGAGTGGGTCCTTTTCACAGATCGATCTATCCTGCATCACTGAGGTTTAGCATGTCCTTTAATGATAAGGACACTGAGGCTAAGGCAAAGTGACCTATCCAAGTTCCACTGCTGGAGAGTGGCATAGCAGGACTCGCATTTGCCTTCTGTTTGCCCAGCTGCTCTTACCCTGCGATGGTCCTTGTGCCTTCCTTACCCTGTCCTGGTCTGAGATAGACATCCTGACCCAGACGGGTGCCTGAGACTTTCTGTAGGAGCTCCTTGGGAGATAGGATCACCCACGTGATCATGAATAAAATTCCACTAGCCCTAGAATTGGAATAGCCTGGTTCCTCTGGTTCCTCCCTTTGCTGACTGGGTGATCCAGGCCAGTGGTTTCACCTCTCTGAGGCTCAGTTTCCTTATCCATAAAATGGGGATGATGGTGACTTCCTCTCTACCTGTTGGTGAGGAGTAATCTGTAGTAGATGCTCAGTGAAGAGCCACCGCAGGGATGGTTACAGTGGGGTGATGTTAACTGTACCCTGACCCAACTCCTGCCCTGACTCTCCCAAAGCCTGACCCCTGTTTCAACGGTGGGACTTGCCTTGTCACCTGGAATGATTTCCACTGCACCTGCCCAGCCAACTTCACAGGGCCCACATGTGCCCAGCAGCTGTGGTGCCCTGGCCAGCCCTGTCTCCCACCGGCCACCTGTGAAGAGGTCCCTGATGGCTTTGTCTGTGAGTGTGTAACCCTGGCATCCCACATGCTAGGTGCTGGACACCCAAGCTGGTTGGGTCCCATCCTGCTGACAGCTAGCCCTGGGCTGGGCCCTTCTGAGGCTGCCTCCAGTGAGGTTGGGGGCTGGAGGCTCTTGGAGCAGAAAGGAAGCAGAGCTCAGGGTGCCCCCCAAGCCAAGGTAGCAGCAGCAGCAGCAGCAGAGAGAGAGAACTGCTTGGGTCTCTCTCACGAGATACTGGACAATGGATCAGGAATGCCAGCAGCTCCAGCCCGATGTGGGGGGCTGCTGCCTCCTGAGAGACAGAGTTTCTGGAGGAGGTGAATATGTGCTAGATTTTCAAGGGTGGGTCCACGGGGAAGGACATTTCTGAGAGGGAGAATAGCATGTGGCAAAGCCCCTGAGGTCTGAAATAGTGGAAAGGCAAGTGTGGGAAGGGGTGCCCTAGGAAATGGGGTGGAAAAGTTGGTAGAGGCTTTGAAAGCCAGTCCAGGAAGCTCCGCCTTTATCCCAAGGGTAGTGGGGAGCCAAAGGAGGGTTTTATGCAGGAGAGGGGCATGATCAGGTACACATTTAAAAAAGAGGACTGGCTGTAATGAGAAGTAACCTCAGTGATGACATGGGTAGCTTCATGGAGGAAGGAAGGGGGCAGATTCTTCCAGGGGTTAATATTGGCGGGCATGTGACATAGAAGGTAGTGAGGGCATGGTGGTCTCCCTGGCCCTGGCCAGGAACTAGTCCTCTGGAGGTAGAGAGCACGAGGGGTGGAAGTATGAGGGTGGTGGTGGGTGGCTGCAGTTTCCCAGATTAGATGTAGGTGAGTGCCTGTAGCCCTAACCCAGGGGCCCCGGGAATGGGGTGGCAGATGGTACCAGCCATTTGCTGGGGCAGGGGAAGATGGTTGAAGGCTCCCGTAGGCCATGCCTTGACGTTCTCTCTCCCGCAGGTGTAGCCGAAACCACATTCCGTGAGGGGCCCCCTGCCGCATTCAGCGTGTTGTCAGGGCACTGGCTCAGCGGTATCTCTCTGGCCTTCCGCACGCGTGACCGTGAGGCCTGGCTACTGCGCGCTACAGCGGGCACCCAGGCTGGCGTGTGGCTGGCAGTGCGCAACGGTTCCCTCGTGGCTGGAGTGCGGGGCCATGGCCTGCCTGGCGCTGTGCTGCCTGCGCCCGGGCCGCGCATAGCCGACGGTGCCTGGCACCGCGTGCGCCTGGCCATGGAACGCCCGACGGCTGCTTCTTCGCGCTGGCTATTGTGGTTGGACAGTGCGGCGACGCCCATGGCGCTGCGTGGCCTGGCCGGAGACCTGGGCTTTTTGCACGGGCCGGGTGCCGCCCGCATCCTGCTGGCCGAGAACTTCACTGGATGCCTAGGGCGCGTGGCACTCGGTGGCCTCCCACTGCCACTGGGGCGGCCGCGGCCCGGCGCGACTCTGGGCCCCCGAGAGCACTTTGTGGCCTGGCCGGGTTCATCGGTGGTGCGCCTCGGCTGCAGCAGCGCGCCCGTGTGTGAGCCCTCGCCCTGCCTGCACGGTGGCACCTGCCGCGACCTCTTTGATGCCTTTGCCTGTGCCTGCGGGCCGGGCTGGGAGGGCCACCGCTGTGAGGCTCGCGCTGACCCGTGTCGCTCTGCACCCTGCGCCCGCGGCCGCTGTCACGTTCGCCCTGATGGGCGCTTTGAGTGCCGCTGCCTACCCGGCTTTGTGGGCCCACGCTGCAGGTGCGACGGCTGTCCGGGGTCCTGGCCGGAGCCTGGCGGGTTCCTGGCTGGCAGGGGTTGGGGGAGGCACCAAGAGGACCCTGGAGGGAGGATCCCTGGGGTGGGGGTGGGGCGGGGGGGGGTCTGTGAAGTTGGCTGCGGATTGGCTGCCTCTGTGGGTGGGTCGTTTCCATGCTCCTATCTGTGAAATGGGGACTGCAGTTCAGTTTGATAACTACCGATAACACCCCGATCAAAATCCGCCTGGTTACATTTGCGTTTCAGATGAAAACACCCTGTATGGGAGCCGGGGTAGCTGGGCCCAGAGCTTGTTAGCTCGAGGCCTCCCAGCAGAGCCACGTGCCTTGCTGTTCATCACCCCTAGTCTGGCCCATCCAAACAGGGAGGTGGTTGGTCTCCCTCCTTCCGACTGGCCTGGGCTCCCCACCCTCTGCAGCCTTCGCATGTGTCTGGAAGCTGCCAGCCGATCTGTACTCTCTCCCCTCAAGGAATGTCAGGCCAAAATTCTGTGTTTAGGAGCATGTCTTTGTTCCCAGGGAGTCCTTACACTTCGTCGGCTCCTCAAAGGCTGTGGAAACTCAGGGAAAGTTCCCAGCACCCCAGGTCCTGAGTTTGTACTCTTTTGGGGTGGAGGTTCTGAGTGACAGCCCTGTGTCCCTGCCTTCTCACCTCAGACCTAGCTCCCATGACTGGTTTCAAGATCTGCAGGAGCTGGGCCCTGAATCCCACAGATGAGAACACAGGCCTGGGTGGCCTGCAGTCAGGGGTGGGGGCAGACAGTCGCAGACATGCTGCCCTCTGCAGCCTCTCTTTCCCCCAGGTTGCCTGCTCCACCCGAGGAATGTAGCCTGAACCTCACCTGCCCCTGTCAGGGTGGGCCCCGGGGTGCCAACTGTAGCTGCCAAGAGGGCTTTGCTGGCCAGAGGTGGGTCTGGGGCCAGGGGCTCTCTGAGGTGGTCTGGTGAGGGTGGAGATCTGCCCCTCCAGCTGGTCACGGACAGCGGCTCCTTGTTTACTTCCTCGTACCTCGCTGGCGTCACGGTGCTGGACAGCCCACCATTGTCACTTGAGGCTTTTCCTCCTGGATTTCCGGGACCATCTGTGTCATGCAGACCCCTGCTGTGTGCAGTGGTCACCTGGTGGTGCTTCTTTGAGCCAGATCCTCAGCCCATCTGTGTCAGGACCCCCTGGGGAAACCACAAAATCACAGATTTGGGCCTCGAGGTGGTGGAGTCTGGTCACCTGCCTTCACACTCTCTTGTCACTGAGGGAGAGTTATTCTCACTCACCAAAGCTGGGAGAAGAGGGTGGCGGTGGTGCAGATCACACTCAGCTTTGGTTACCTGGCAGGGCCCAGACAGGCAACAGGGTGCGTGGATGGTGGATGGGTGAGCTCTGATGCTTGTTGGGGAGTAGGAGGGGGCCGTGAGGAGTATAGCTTTCTCAAACCCTTCCCTCACCAGGTGTCGGATCCCTTCTCCGCCCTGTGAAGCCAATCCATGCTTGAACGGAGGCACCTGCCGGGCAGCTGCCGGGGTGTCTGAGTGTATCTGCAGTGCCAGATTCTCCGGCCAGTTCTGCGAAGTGGCGGTGAGCAGTGCTGAAGGGGGGCTGGGGGCCTGATAGAGGCCGGTTTGCAACTTTGGTGGGATGATGTTGGCAGTGGCAGCAGATGGACCCTGTGTTGCTTTATCCTGGACTATTCCTGTCATGGGTGGGAGTGGCAGGGAAAGGAGACTCAGGTCCCTTCCTCATTCCCCACACAGGAGGTATTTTCATTTTAGGGATGGCTTTGGGCACAAGGCTCCTGGCCGGGCACAGGTCAGGGGCTTCCATACAGTGCCCTGGGGAGAGGCAGTGGGGACAGGTGGGCTCTCCCAGGGCCCATCTTGGATCAGGATTCAGGGCCCACAGGATCTTGGCGTTCTAGGACTAGGTTGGTGAATCCAAGAGCCTACAGTCTCCAGGGCTTTCTGAGCTGGGGTCTTGGAGTCTGAAGACCCAGGCAGCCCTGCTTTCTGAGCTAGGGTGGGCTTGGCCACCAGAAGGCAGCCCTGACCTCAGGAAGGCCCAGCTGAGGAGGGGCTGGACAGAGGGGGCAGGAAACACTAGAGCTGCAACCTATCCCCTCCCCCCCATAGAGGGCTGGTGCTGGCAGGAGGGGACTCAGGAAGGGAAGTCTAGGACTAACCTTCCTCTCCACAGGCTTCTGGCAGTCCGGGTCATAAACCTCAAATCCCTCTGCTTCTGGGGAATGTTTCCTTTCAAGTTGACCTTTTACAGCCTCTGGCTCCCCACCCTTACCCTCCTCCCAGGGCAGGGGGAGGAGATGGCTTTACAGAAGCACCCAGGGTGGAGGCTGGCAAGGGCCCTCTCAGAGTGGTGACAAGCTCACCTCCATTGCTTTGGGACCACTTCCCCAGGACTGGGGCCCCAGGTCACAGCGGGCTTGAGAAACACTTCAAGGTGCAGAGGGAGGGCCAGTGAGGCTGAGACCCTGTGGCTCTGGAATCCTGTGATTCGGAGACTTAAGAATTCCAGGTGTGTAGACTCTTTGATGGGGTCCCCTGGGAGTTTGCAACTGGAGATGAGGAGGAGCTTTGCTGGGTTCCCAAGGCCTGGTCTGAGTCTCCCAGGGGCCAGCTCAGAGTGGGCCCTCAGGAAGGCAGGCCCTGATGGATTCGGACCTGCCCATAAGCTGGGCTGGGCTGCCCTGCTCCAGCTCAGCACCCTCAGATGCATGGTGTGCAACTCACTCTGGGGGTTCTGTCAGTGTCTGCCTTCCATCCTTCCAGGCAGGACCCGTGTTGTACAGGACTCCCTTTGCTGGGCTGTGACAGGTGGCTTCCTTGCACCTGTTTTCACACCCCTGGGGCTATTTCTTGCTACTTCCCTAGGAAGCCTGCTCCCAGCTCTGACTTTTCTCTGAGCAGGTCTTTGTGCCCACCTTTTTCCTCTCCAAGGGGCCTGGGACTCCCCTTCTCTGTGGTCTCAGGCCTCATTGTGTGTCTCTTGCAGAAGGGCACACCCATGCCGCTGCCGTTCCCACTGCTGGAGGTGGTGGTGCCTGCAGCCTGTGCCTGCCTCCTTCTCCTCCTCCTGGGCCTCCTCTCAGGAATCTTGGCAGCCAGAAAGCGCCGTCAGTCTGAAGGCACCTATAGCCCGAGCCAGCAAGAGGTGGCCGGGGCCCGGCTGGAGATGGACAGCGTCCTCAAAGTGCCACCCGAAGAGAGACTCATCTAGGCCAGCCTGGCTGCCAGTGCCAGCACCCAGGAGGTCCTGAGTGACTTCTACCTGGAGACCCAACGAGGCTGCTTGTTGGGCCTGGGACACTGCTGGGGAGGTGTCCCCTTGGCTGGTAGCCCCTGCCTCTGCCCTATCGTGGATTGAGGAAAAGGGAGAGCAACTCAGGGAAACAGAGAGGGACCTGGTGAGGGTGTGGACATCTCCATCCGACCCAAGGTTTTGCCTCAGCATGGGCATGGGAGGGCACACGTGGGTGCTCACGGTGTGTTCATGAGTGTGTGAGCGTGTGCCTGGGATGTGTCTGTAGATCTGGTGTTGGTGTTTTGATGGGGCTTAGGGGCTTGTCTGTTTCTTTTGCTTTGTGTGTGTGTGTGACTGTGTAGTGTGGGTGCACGTGAGCCTGGGGAAGAGGTGGCTGCACTGTGAAGACGATTTTTATAACACTGGAGTGGGGGGGGGGCAGGGCTTGCCCAAGCACCAAGGCCACAGCTCCCACATCTTCTCTTACCTCCAGGGATTGCCCGTGCCCTTGGAGACAGCTAGAAGTCTAGGGAGGCCCTTAGTGTAGGCCACGTGGGGGCTCTGGGCTCCCAGAACAAATCCTCCTTCAGGTAGATGTCTCGGGAGCCACAGACCCAGCCCACCCCATGCCTGTGTGGGGCTGACGAGCGGGAGCATGGGACAGGCTTCCCTGAGCTTCCCATCTTGCTGCCAGTCCTTTGTTGAATGGGGACTGCACCCCCCGCCTACCTCACAGGGCTGTTGTGAGGATCAGAGAGGGCGATGTTGGGGAAAGAACTCTGGAAGTTGTAAACTCCTGCCCGGTGTGAACGACTGTCTGGGTGTCCTTTAAAGTGTCTGGAAGTCTCCTCTCCACTGGCCAGAGTTGAGGAAAAGGAGGGTAGTGGCCTTCCAGAGGTTCAGCAGGAAGCCCAGAGCAGAGGAGGTTAAGGATGAAGGAGCAGCCCTACCCCCTCCAAGTCCCCAGTTCACTTGCCCACCTTCTGGTTCTCCAGCTCTGACCCTCCCGAGTGGCGGCAAAGTCACACCTTGACTTATAGACCAGTGGCCTCTGTGTCTGGCTGTTGGGGAGGATTCAGTGAGGGGACTCAAGGAAGCCCCTGAGTTGTTTGGCACTGCCTCTGTGTGGGACTGGTCCTACAAGGGCTGACTTGGGGAATTTGCTGCTTGCAGTCCCTTCCCTGGTGATGCCCATTACTGTGACCTTTGAGCTCAGAGAGGCACTTGCCTGAGGGCCTGGCCTCCTGTGAGCTTCATGGGGGCTCTTTCACCTGATTTGGGGGTGTGCTCTTTTATCCATTTCCTAGGCCAGCAACTCCTGTTCTGAGGGTTCCACATGCCAAGGACAGGAAGTCCTTTTGTACCTTTTTTTCTTGACACAGAGTCTTGCCCAGGGTACAGTACCCTGGCCTCACCCTAGCTCACAGCAACTTCAGACTCCTGGGCTCAAGCGTCCTCCTGTCTTGGTCTCCCCAGTAGCTGAGACAACAGGTGCCTGTCACCACGCCTGGCTAATTTTTCCATTTTTAGTAGAGACTCTTTTTTTTTTTTTTTTGAGACAGAGCCTCAAGCTGTCCCCCTGGGTAGAGTGCTGTGGCATTACAGCTCACAGCAACCTCCAACTCCTGGGCTCAAGCGAGTCTCCTGCCTCCGCCTCCCAAGTAGCTGGGACCACAGGCGCCCGCCACAACGCCCCGGCTATTTTTTGGTTGCAGCCATCATTGTTGTTTGGCGGGTCCGGGCTGGGGATTCAAACCCGCCACCTTAGGTGTACGTGGCTGGCGCCTTAGCCGGTTGAGCTATAGGCGCCGAGCCAGTAGAGACTCTCGGTCAGGCTGATCTCCAACTCCTAACCTCAGAGCTCTTTCCAGCTCAACCTCTCCCAGAGTGTTAGGATTATAGGTGTGAGCCACTGTGCCTGGTCCCTTTTGCATTTAGTTGGCTGTTAAGTTTTACTTGTCATTTCAGCCAGCTCTGAGGAGGCATAGGCATCCAGTGCAAGGTGGAGCCATGTAACAATGGGGGGACTTAGGCAGGGGAGGGGACAGGGATTTGGCCGAGGCTGGGATAGAGGGCCCTGAACTCTGGGCTGCGGGGCTTGCTGGGGCCTTATCCTTCAGATGTGGGCCCACCTTTCTCACAACTTTCTCCACTACCTCTAGGAAACTGGGGAGAAAGCGTCATCTGGTACCCTCCATTTAGCCACAGCCAGCTCCTACTTTAATTTGGTGAAATCAGGAATTTGGCAAACCTATGTTAGTTGCAGATGCCTCAGACAGTTATGTGGAACCCCTAAATATAGACAAAGCTGGCTGCTCTTCTGGGGGGAGCCCCATGTCATTCTGCTCTCTCCTTGCTCCTGTGGGTTCTGGGTGCCTATCATTTTCAGGGTGAGCCCTGGGAGGGGAAATACGGCCAGGTCATATTTCCAGTGGTCCAGATTGCCCCTCCAAGCACAAACATCCAGCAGAGAGCACATTCCAAGGCTCTGCTCTTGTTAATGAGAGATCTGTGTAGGTGACTTGCCAGGCATCCCCTTGAACTTGTTCTTTCCCAGAACCTAGGTGCCCTCAACACCTTTGGTGGCCTACAGACTGCTATATGGTTCCAGCAAGGCTGTCCAGGCCTGTCACCAGGCCAGCCCTGCTTATGAAGGGAAAGGGTGAGTGGGTCAGGCCCTGGCTGGGCACAGGCACCCTGCACCTGGCCCCCACCTCTGCAGAAGGGAAGTGAAGATGCTGAGAGCCCACATGGAGCCTCTGCTCTCCACACAGCTCCTTCAAGGACACAGATGCCAGGCTTTTCCCTAAGAAGATTTTATTGAATGCACACACAAAGTTCATCCTTGGGTTTGCAAGTTCAATCCAGCAAGTGAAGAGACAGCGGTGCTCACGTGGACACGGAGCCCTCGCCACCAGCCCAGCACAGCCAGGGAGACCATGAGGTCTCCTGCCCAGGGGCTGCCCAGCGCCTCTTTTCTTATCTTCTGACCTGCCCCACATGGGCCTAGGGGTCTGTTCAGGGGTAGAACTGGAATCTGTGCTGAAACACAAAGTGCCTGGGAGGTGCCCACTGGCGTGACACGGCTCCCCCAGCAGCCAGAGAACACTCACTAGGTGGTAAGAGGAGACCTGCCCAGATGGGTCACTGTTGGCCCAGGAAGAGCTGTGTGCTGGGCTGGCCACAGGCCTTAATGAACACGCACAGAAGCCTCTCAGACACAGAGGGGGCTTCCTGGGCTGTCGGGGACCTCTAGGGACCCCCTTAGCGCTATCAGACATCCCTGGGTAGACTGTGTGTCTGACCATTCACAAATAGGAAATGAGAAATCAGGTCAAAATGCTCACAATTTCCTGGATGTCTCAGATGGTTGTTTTCTTAAATGGTTGGGCCATACTTTAACTTGGTTTATGGAAATGAATCAATTTCAAGATTCATCAAATCAATAAGGTAAAAAGAAAAAGAAAGATAAAAGAAACAATAACAAAACATTTCAATCTAACTTTGGTGACGTTGGCCTCAGGAATTTCTGTGCTAGCCAGAAGCTTGAGACAGGTGGGGAGGGACAGGGTCCTGGAGCTCTTCCTGCCTCCAGGGTGAAAGAAGGCTCTAGCCCACTGGAACCCTGAAGAAGGGGCTCAGGGCCATCGTTCTGTCCCAGCCCAGGGACCCTGGGCAGCTGAGACTCCCACATCAGAATGTGGCATTAAGCTTAGCCTTTGAGTCGAAATCTGAGTCATTTTTCTCAGCTCTCCCCATGAAGCCCCAAGTGACAATGGGCTAAGCCTGGCTTTGACAGTGACAGGAAAGTCAAGGAGAACTGGAGGTATCAGAGTCACAGAAAGTTGGATGAAGGCTGAGGATTCCTCCTAACACGCTCAGATTTGTGGGTTTCTATTTTTCTTCTATAAATCTGAGTTGCTGGTGCCCCAGCCCCATGCAGGGTAGCTGGGGCTGGGTTTGGCTATGAAAAGGGAGCCCAAGATCCTTCGGAGCCCAGATCCTACCAGGCCAGAAACAACTGAAGTTTGGGGTTGGGATGAAGACTCAGGAAAGAATGCATGTGCATATTGCTAGAGAGGGTTCAGAAATGCCACGCCTGGTAGATCCTCCACCTGGGAGGAGCCCGGACTTCAAACCCCCAAATCACCTGTGTCTCGTGCAGACGAGCTCACACTTGAGAGTTACACTGATGCCTGTGCCTGTCCAGGTGGGGTGTGCAGGGCTGGGCTGCAGGAGGGACAGGAGAGCTGGCTCAGGAGAGCCTTGTAGGATGTTTCTGGGGGAAAGTGGGTAGGACATGGTCTGGGCAATCATTGGCCCAGCTGACCTCATTAGTGCAAAACCCAGTCAGGGTGCTGAGGAGGGGCCGTGCCGGGCCGGACGGGTGCTCAGGAGCTGGGTCGATTCTGAGGCCCGAACTGGAACCATTCCCTCAGAGATGGGCAGTTGTGTGGAGACCAGGGGCATGGGGGGGTGGCAGAGAGGGGTCCCACCCTACCCACCAGCAGAACCTGGGCAGACCGAGCAGCAGGGGACCTCAAGGCCACAGCTGTGGACAGGACACGCTTGGTTCTTCGCTCACCCACCCTCAGGGCCTGGCTCACTCGAAGGTCTCCCATTGCTTCCTGAGCTGCTCCACAGAGCCTGGGGCCGGGGCTGGGGCCGGGCTTGGGCTCACGTCTTGCTTGGTTTTCTGTAGCAAATCCTCAAAAGGGTCTCTGGCCTGTTGAGGAGCAGAGGGCCGCAGTGCTGGCTCCAGGCCCTGGGGGGGTCTGGGAGGCAAGAGAGGGGGGTCTCCTGGCCTCAGGGCCAGCCCCTGCTTGGCCTCAGCAGCCCTGGCACTTGAGCGGGCCAGGGGCAACGTTCGGATCCTTGAAGGCGCAACTGCTGGGGGCCCCAGCGGCTGTAGGGGACTGTTGTGGGCGCCCATGGGCATCTGGCCAAAAAGGTTGGGCATGGAGAGGGCAGACAGGTTCGGCTGAGATCTGTGAGGGGCACAGAAGCCAGCACCAGACAGCAGGAGGCCAGGTGCAAAAGCTGGCCCCAGGGAAGCAGGAGGGGCCCCAAAAGGCCCAGCTGTTGTGGAAATCAGGGGCAGGGCAGGCGGGGCTGTTGGCATGGATGGGACAAAGGGGTTGAGTGGATGCTGTGGGAATGGGGCAGGGGTCCCTGCAGGGGGGAAGCTGTACTGGGGAGTGAATGGGGTGGCTACATTTCGGGCAGCAGGGCATGGTGGCAGGGTGCTGCCTGGCCAGGCTGTGCTAAGTGGGTCAAGGAGAGCAAGCAGGGCGTCACTGCTTGTGCCTGTAGCTGCTGGGGCTGGGCTGAGGGGCTGGAGCAGTTCAGTGGAGCCCTGGGAAGCAACACTGGGGAGGAGCCCTGGGAACAGGGCTGGGCTCACAGTGGCTCGCCTTTCCTGATCTGTCTGCAGCCGCTCTGAGAAGTCACCGAGTGTAGGGCCGGCAGCCTGGAGCTTGGCTGGGCGAACAGTGGGTGGGGGAGGCACGATGCCCAGCTCTGGGGTTTTTCGGCCCTGGGGCCGGGGAATGGTGATGCTGCCCAGAGTGGGAGTGGGTGCCTCCTCCTTGTCACCAGGGTTCTGGATGCTGTCGCGGTGCTGGGGCCTTCGGGGCAGGGTGGTGGAATTCCCGAGCAGGACCAAGGGCTTCTCAGGGGAGGCAGCTGGGGGCTTGCTGGGAATGGCCATGTCATCCTGGCCCAGGCTCCACAGCTTGTTGTACGGGTGGGTAAGCTTCAAGGCCATCATCATCCCACGGCTCCTCTCACTCCCGCCCAAGTCCAGCCTCTGTTGGGAGGGAATGAGGGAAACAGTGACCACAGGCTGACCTGGGATGGCCAAGAAAGAAGAGTGTGCCCATTTCTATGACCCTCTTAAATGCCAGGCATGTGCTCCTAGGCATGTGGCCAATTAACTCCCAGGAAGTAGAGGAGTTGGGGACTCCCAGGTTACCAGCAGAGAACTCAGGTCTGTCTGGACTCCAAGACCAGGGTTTTCTCATTGTGTGGCACAAAGGGATTTGAGACAAAGCTTTTGTTCTTTTATACCAGTGGTTGCCAAGTAGTTTTAGAAGAGTGACTCTATCTCCCTCAGGCCCCATTTACTTTTCAGAGTGAGTGGCACCTTTTATCACTAGTAAGCCCAGAAGTTAGGGTGGTGCCTGTGGCTCAAGGAGTAGGGCACCCGCCCTGTATACTGGGGGTGGTGGGTTTGAGCCTGATCCCAGCCAAAACTGCAAAAAAAAA